TAAAAAAAATATAAAGATAAATTACCCTTCAAACCATCTCTTGTGACAAATGACACATTATTTAATGACTTCTGTCATATTACATTATGAATCCGTTTGCACTGTAATGATATGGCAATTTTTTATGAGCTGGAGCTTACATGTACCATTGTTGCTCACTTTTTTTGCAGTGTGGCATTTTCTTTCCTTCTTTCTTCCCTATCCAAGTCATGGATCCCATTGAAGAGGTCCTGAAACAGAAAATTATCTATTAGCCCTTTTGCCCATCAACTAATTTGGGGGTTAGGGTTCTCTACAAATTTAAAATTTAGGGATGACCCATCTCGGATTAACACATCTGCTCCTCCATCAAATAGTTTAACAGTCTCGCTGTGGTCGGAATCTCCTTCTGCATTACCGTCCATCTCTTGGATCTTCGTCTACAACACCAATTCCTATAAGTCCCTCAAATCCTTCATCGACGTAGCCATGAAATTAATCACGTCGAGACTTCTCTAAAAGAATCCAGTAGAGATTTCTCTGTATGGATCTCAAATTCCCTTTCCTCCTTCGTTTGCATCTTTTCTCCTATCTCGTATTCTTATGCCCAAACATCAGAAGCATGTGAAGGGAGGACCAATCGATGGTGCAGATCCATCTATCTTCTATGTTTTCTTCTCTAACCCCTCCCCCTTTCTTTTTTTTTTCCTTTTTTTTTTTTTTTTTTTTTTTGCGCAAGGCTGGTAGAATGGGGAACCCAAATCTGGCTTTTTAGATTTATTGAGGCTGGTTATCTAGTTGGGGGATTTGAAGAAATTGAAGTTACTTTGAATTGGATTTATGAATTGAGATGTTACTTAACCTATAAATAAATATTCATATATGTTTTTTGCTTCAGAGAATAGAATTAAAGGTAAAAATTGTGATAATTTGGTTGATGTTGGTGAAGGAGTAGGCCAGCCTTATGGAAGGAAAGCTCACCGGAGAAGATAACAGTTTGTCTTCCCTGGTGAGATTTTCTTTCTTTCTTTTTTTTCTTGGGTTAAATATTAATTTTGGTTCCTTAACTTTATAGAGTTGCACTTTTTTGGTCCCTCAATTATTTTTTACACTTTTTTTATCCTTCAACTCTAAAAACTGCACAATTTTTGTCATTCCGTCAAGTTGGACAATTAATTCCGTCCATGTGGCACTTTTTATATATTTTTTTGATGACATGGGTAATACAAATAAAAAAAATGCTTATTTGGACTAAAACTTATGCCATGTTGCAAATAAACTCTACCCATTTCATTTAATAAATAATAAAAACTTCAAAATTACATAAATGCCCTTAACTTCATCACCTTCCCTTGATTTCCTGTTTTCTCCCCTTTATTCCTTAACCCTAAACTTCGACAACTTCTCCCTCCTTATCCTCGTCTCTAGTAGCTTCTCCTTCTCTTTTCCTTTTTTAGGTGCTGACTTCTCTTCTCTTCCCCTCCCATCCTTTGTTTGACTTTTTTTCTAAAATTTGGGTTTGAGCAAGATCTGGGTTCGAGCAAGGTTTGCATTCAAGCAAGATGAACAAAACCTTGTAGATGAACGCAAACCTTGTAGATCTAGGATTAAGCAAGATCTGGGTTGGAGCAAGATAAACAAAACCCCACAGATTTGGGTTTGATTAGAACCCAACAATGCTGGGATTAAACCCACTTACTAAGATTGAACTACTATTTCTAGAGTGGAGAGCACATCTAGATCGGGATAACGAAATTCAATTCTTTGTTCCTTTGAGGTGGTTGCAAAGTGTTGGTGGAGATTTGGCTAGAATATGGGAGATCTTAAGCTAGATTAAGGGTATACATTTGGTTTTTTATTTTTTCAAAGGTTTGTATCAAATTTCTTTGAATGTTGAGCCATAATCATTAGAAATGGCAGTTAGATTGTCATTTTTAGTTGATTTGGGTTCTATTGACCTAACTGATGGGTTTGATTAGAACCCAATAACGGTTTCATCAAACCTAGCTGTAGGGTGTCATTGAACCTAGCTGTTGGGCTTCATCTAACCTAACTACTGGGTTTCATTGACCCTAGTTGCTGGGTTTCATAGAATCCAATAGATTTGAGTTTGATTGGAATTGAACAAAAAAGCTTTTATTGTATTTTGGAATTGAAACTCAAAGTTGCAAGAAAAGAAAATTACCAAAGAAGATGAAGAGATTAGTCAATTGAGCACAACACAAACGCACCATTCTAACCCAGCTGATTTGGGTTCCACTGAACACAATAGCTAGGTTTGATGGAACCTAGCAAATCTAGGTTCAATGGAGCCACCGAGCCAGAGGTAGGAAAGAGGAAGAAAGAAAGGGAAGAAGATGGATCGAGAGGGTGACAACTAATAATGTAATTTTGTTTTGTTGGCTTAATGTACTCCAAGATGGGGGTGAATTGAAGTTGAAAAATATTCGCCTCTTTGCAACTACCAAACAAAAATCAAAGAGAAAGTAGGGAAAAAGAGCTTGTATAATGATTTTATAGAGGTTCAGTCCAACCACTTGGAACCTACTCTTCTACCTTGACTTCACTCACCAAGGATTTCCTCCACACTCTCCACTAACAAAATCAAGAGTGGCTTAAAGGAGCCACTCAATCTTTTTACAAGAAGAATGGTGTTTCTCTCAAATCTCACCCCTTTATAAGATAAACTCAAACAATCCTCTCTACAAATCACTCTTGAAGAAACAATTACACCTCTAAGATCACTCACAAATAGAATAAGAAGAGCATTACAAGTAAAGCTCTCTCAAAGATCAAATACTCAAGTTAAAGCACAAGTTGGTAGATAAAGATATTCAATACAAAGCTCTTCAAACTTGTTCCAGATCTTCTACCAACCATATTTATAACCCCATGGTCGAAAATAACTGTTACTAGCTGTTGGGGGTCATTTAATGCTCTGTAGATCGCTTAATTAGAGTTGCAGAATTGTCAACACAACCAGCTTACACTTCTAGAGTTGGCTTTACAGCCGACTTAAAGAAATCTACAACTGGCTTTGCGGGTTTCCTGCACATTTTGTTTTCTTCATATAGTCGGCTACAAAGCGTAAAGCAGGCTTTGCAAGTTTCCTACACATTCTATTTTCTTGGACAGTCGACAGCAAACCATAAAGCTGACTTTGGGATTCCAACTTTAAACACATTAAATAATCTTCAAATAACTCGACTGTTGTGCATTAAATGCACCATCACAGTTGGCTACAAAGTCAGAGTTGGCTTTGGCGTCTGTTTTTCGCTAGCGCCAAACAACAGACTTGAAATTTTCACCCGTAGAGCTGGCTCTTAAAAGCTGTTGCTAACTCTCTACATTTTTGCCTTCCAGAGCCGACTGAATATTTTCTTAACCCAGCTCTCTGAACATTTTAGCCTTTTGGTCCATTTTTAATGCAATCCAAGTTTACTTACTTTGCAATCTTTTGACAATTTAACTACACACTTAAATGAACCAATTAGTCACTTAAATGTGTTTTGCAATCATCAATATCATAGGTACAACATGTTTGTTTTCATTTTTTTATTAAAATATAAATATTCAATTGATGTGGCATTTTTGAAGATATATTATTGCCACATCATCAAAAGAATTGAAAGAAAATGCCATATGAAATTATTTAACTACCACGTCATGCTTAACTGACAGAGGGACCAAAATTATGCAATCTTTAGAGTTTAGGGATAAAAAAAGTGCAAAGAATAATTGAGGGACCAAAAAAGTGCAACTTTATAAAGTTGAGGGTCCAAAATCAACATTTAACATTTTTTAAATAAACTTTAGATAATACACTTTCAAAGTTTTGATTACTCATGTGATAGCGTAATTTCCTATTATATTCAATATACTTTCTAAAATTATATAAAATTTATCATTATCTATTAATTCTTTTTATCTCTATGTGAATTTAAATATATAAAGATGTATTAAGTTATGTGAAATTCCCTAGTTTATATAGCAAATTAAGTCGACTTATCATTAATACTACACAAACCATGTTGGTTCATCTCTAAATTTTATTTAATTCATTGTATATATTACTAGAAGTTATTACATAAAATCTCATCTCAGTCTCAGTTATGCTCTCAAAATTAGTTTTAATGGTGGTAAACCATTAAAAAACATTAAGAAAAATAATATATATATTGCTACTAACCTCCTGGTATCTAGTAACCACATTGGATTTCAATTAATTTGGAATTGAGTCAGGTCGAATCGAATTAGGAGAGGAAGCCCTCCCAGCACTTGTTTCTTTATTCACAAGACTTTACTTAAAAGGGTGTTTACGACCATTTAAAAGGGATTAAGTGTGAAAATATTAAAGAAAAGGGGAGTCGCCACTCGTCTAAATTGTAAGGTGGGACAAGTCATCTAAAACGGGTCTGCGTAGAGATCGGGATTCGGGGGTTCGGTTAGGAGTGAGGAAAGGCATACGCGCATCTCACAATCCTCCGTTTAAACACGGTTGCATACTTTAAAATTGAGGTTTATTTCAACTTATCCATTATCTATGTAAAAAAAAATATTTATTTTTTATTTTTAAAAAAGATCAACCAAATTGAAACATTTTTTTTTTATTTTTGGACTAGAATGGACTAAATCAAAGACATGCATGCACAATAACACAAACAAGAAGTTAAGGGACTAACTTGATTACATTCACGAACATAGAGGACTGATTTGAAAAGAGTTGAAATATGTGGACTAAATAGCTTAATTATAAAAGTTTTGGGTAAAATTAAAGTGAGAAGATAATTAACGGAAATTAAAGATTTAAATTAATTAATACAATAATTAACTTAATTAAATAATTAATTTAACATTAATTAAAATTAATTAATCATATTATCAATCTTTGATCAAGATAAATTATATAAGAAAAATAAATATGATTAATTTATTTTAATTAAAATTAATTAATATTAATAATAAATAAAGTTAATTATCTTGATTAATTAATTTACTTTATTTATATTATGTATTTTTTTTTACTTAATCAGATTTGATTTACCCGCAACCGGGTCTGTGACCCAATTAGTTGACCCCCAAGCTTTAAGGCTTGGGTGAGGCGGAGTTCAGGGCTTCGAGCTCTACCATCGCCGTGAAATCCACCAACTTGCGACCTAATAATCACGCACCTCATTTTGAGAGGGTAAAACGTTCACTTTCCTGAAAAAATTCCAGCTGCTAACAAA